ATATTTAAACATTGGTTGCCTGCTAACAATTTATCACATTAGTCTGAATGAACATTAGTTAGGGAAAAAAAAAAGTTGCAGTGCTGAACTGTGAGAGAAAGCAATGAATGTGAGACAGATCAATGCCCTCACTAACTGAATGGGAATTTGCCAGTTCATACCAGGTGAAGAACTGGCCTGTGAAATGCACTCAGCAATGAGACAGGGAAAAGAGGAAGAGAATCCAGGTACCCGTTGCACTGCAGGAAATTTCAGATGTGCTTTCCTCATTTCAAAACAAAACCAGAGGCTTTACGGCAAGAATGATGACGAGAGTTTTGAGTTTCAGTCAAGTGGGATACGTCCAAAGATTTTCGGCGGTTTCTGTCCACCTGGGTTTGAATCCTTGGAGCCTCACCTTGAATTCCAGGACAAAAGGAAATGTGGTTTGTGGCTTGTGCCCTGGCTGAAGAGTAAGGAGATGAGAACCCAAATCTTGGCTCTGCCACAGGCTCTCCTTTGAGATGGGAGGTGAGGCGTTGAATATCCCTGTGCGTCAGCTCTCAAGAATGAGGACAGCAGCCCTACCAAGCTTTCGTGCCAACTTACGTGATATTTCTTTCTATCAAAAAGAAAAAAAAAGTAAAAAATAAAAATAAAAATTGAGGTGTCCCAGATTCTCTCCCTGCTTCTGAAAACACAGACCATTGACTATTATAGAGTGGAATAAATAACGACAGCATGCTGCAATCGCACCCAGGCAGGAGAATGATCCAAGCAGCCATCTGCCAGGTGGTAGCTGGCAACTTCTGATGAAGAGGGATAGGTGAGTATCTGGGGTGATGGTGGGACGGGATGTGACAGCACAGATTGGATGCACACACTGCTTGATGTGCAGCAGGGCCACTCGGGTGCAATTAGAGCAGGCAACAAGAGATAAATCATCTTGGGCTTCCCAAACATCAGAGGCTTAGCAGGCAGCACTCAGTGCAACACAGCTTACTCCAATAGTTCTAATTCCTGGCTCTGCTTCTTGCCCTGTGACAGCCTTCTTGTTTATGGGGTTGCATGACGAACCAGACCAGGAAGCTGATTCAGCTGAAAAACAAACTTCCTCCAAAAAGGCTCTTTCTCAACTTGATCAGTTGCCCCACTTGGCCCTGCTCAAACTTCCCTGCTAAAGGAATCCAAAATAGCAAATGAAGTCATGCCTTACCATCTCTGTCACCACAGCTCATTTGTTAGCCAAGGATATAAACTTGTGCTGAAATCACTCATCATAGAATCGTTAAGGTTGGAATAGACCTTCAAGATCATCTGGCCCAACCATCACTACTACTACCAGTGTCACCCACTAAACCTTGGTAGGGAGATGCCCTGTAGGACCAGTTGAGACATGGCACGCAGTTAGGAGTGGCTGGGACTGCTTTTTCTCCTTGTCTGAGAGGGGAGATATTAAAACACCTCCGACACCTCCCAGGTAAGCTCATCTTAGAGAGCTACATTCAGCCCAGCTCAAATCTAGGTATGCACTAGATGTGTTGGAGAGATTAGATTTGCAGGAAGAGGTCCTCAAAAAGCTCCTTGGAGAAGCAGAGGCTGTCTACAGAAATGCTCACCCCATGGCTCAGGGAGCTGCAGGAGGAGGTATAGGAGCTATCCCTGCGTGCCTGTGTCAATGGGTGCTTATCTCGAGGTCTTCTTCTGAAGCCGTTCTACCAGCCATAATGCTGAGCATGGAGGGGTGCTGGACAAAACTCTGCATCAGGGATGTGAGATGCATCAGCAGTCTTTGCTAGTTGCAGAGCCCATCTGAATATGCTGTGCGAAGAAGCTCTAAAACAGCTACTGGGTCAAAGGCCTCTTTTCCTATGACCCTTGTGGTTTAGAGCATCCCTGGAGAGAAGGGACTCTTGGGTCCAAAGCTGCTCCTCATTGACTCGGGCCAGGGATTTTATGCTGTAACTTTCTCCTTTCCCAAACATTCACGTCACGGGGCTGTCACTGGGATGTCCCACAGCTGGAGCTGAAGTCTGTGGCACAGGCAGGTCATAAAGCTGGGCAGATCATAAAGCTTAGGTCCAACTCCTGCTCCAAGGCCTTTTTTGATACTTTCAGACAGAGTGAAGTGGAACTAATAGAAGAGATTTCAGTCTCCTTTTACACCTTTCACATGCCAGGCAGTGATGCATCGTTCCTGGGAGGCAGTGAGTTAGGTTCAGATTCCCTCAAGCAGAGCTCAGCATAGTCTTTTCCCCTCATCTGTGACTCTTTAAGTGAAAAATGGCTGAAGAAATTTTGTCCTTTGACAACTGTGCTTTCCTTATGACCCCCTAAACAGATGAATTACCCAGACCTTCCCTTTCCTCTCCAGCTCTGCATCTGCAGCATTTTAGCTTGGCCATCATCAGTCCTCAATTACCTTAGCCCTAATGACTGCAGGGAGGAAGCAACCTCTCAAAGGGGCATCAGTGTCACTACTTTGTGATTTTAAGTCCCCCGGGCAGGACTAATAATTGAAATGCTTGTTGGAAAGGATTTTTGAACATCTCTTGTCCAGCCTTCAGCCCAGTGTTAAGTGGTTCATCTAAATAGCAATCCTATATGTAATTTGTGATCCATGTCTGGAGACGGTTGGGACACAGATGTCACCCAAAGGTGCTCTCCATCTACCAGCTCTAAAAGGAGCTCAAGATGCTCAAGCCCATTAATCTATTATTTATTTCTGCATGCCACCATCACTAATGCTGGGGCTGAATGCACTGCGAAGTGTAATTCTCTCCCCTACTACTCAAAGTCCAGAGACAAAACAGAGAAAGGGCCAGGTGGGGTGGCAATATGAGAACAGTCCTTATGCTACCCAAACTGAATACCTGGAGCAGTATCACAGAAGAGTGCCTGAAGGCTTGGAGTGCTCACCCAGGATCCATATTGCTCCAAGTCTCAACCATTTTGCACACAGATATTCTGCAGCTGAGGATTAGTACAGTTAATTTTGAGAACTGTTGCCTTTTCCAAATTACTTTCTTTTGCATCTGTGGTGAGGGAAGATGCAAAGGGATTAAGCCCTCCATCTGGCTGAGAAGTGCACAGCCTCGTACGTCCTTGGGTGAGCAGCACAAATAGAAACCAGACCCCAGTTTCCATATCTTCAAAGGAGGAAAGGACTGGGCCTAACCACTATTCACGCTGTGCTATGTGCAGAGACTGAGCTTGTGAGCCTTAGCCAAGAGATTTGATCATGTAGATTATGGCCTTTTGTTCTACCACCCCTCAGCCTACAAGAGGGCCAAAAACTCCATTCCTTCACACTCCTGGAGTACGTAGGGGTGGGAAAACCACAAAAATAGATTTTGAATTTTTAACAGGGTTTTTAACAGTATTTTAAGAGAATCTCTCGGGGAAGGCTAAGTAAAGGTTCTTTCTACCTTTGGGTTAAGGAATCCCTTGCAGATGAGTTTGTTCCAGCTATCTATTACTAATGATTGCATTGAGCCTTTAAAGCCTCGAGTGCACTGCTGTAGGTATCAAGATAACAATTCCTCCTTTTGGCTGTGCTACTTGGAAATGAGCAGAGGTTTCCTATAGAGGATGAAGCAAAAACCCAAGTTTTATTGCCTAAGCAGCTCAGGATAACTTTTTCCAAGGCCAGGACTCAGCATGAGTCCATGAGATGTCTAAATGTCACTGGATTAGATCCCTCTATGCTGCAGTCAAAGGAAGAGCTAATACTGGTCTCACGGTTGAAGAGTGAGGTCTTAAAGCAGGACCAAGGGCATGCTTACAAACCTCTGTGATGGGATTATTCTACCAACGTGACTGTGGTAAAGAGCCCAAAGCCTGCTTGTTGGTTACACACAGTCACCATCTCCCCAGCCCTACCAAGACTGCTGATGCCTGCTAAGAGATCGAGGCAAAATGCTGATGGTGTCCTAGAGAAGGGCTAGAAAATAGGGTGTGAGAGCAGGACCAGCTGGTTGATATCACCCTGTCCCGAGGTAGGCAGGTGGTCTGAAGTACAACAGAAGGAAATGCCTTTGCACATATGTTTTTTTAATGAGGTGTTAATTGGGCATTGGGTGAATAGGACAAAGAAGCACAGAGGATGTGGCTTGAGGTTTTGGCTGATGTAAAGCTGGAGGCCTGGAATAAACTGAAAGTTGTGTGGCTTTTTTTTTTTTTTTTTACAGCCCCTTCCTGTGATTTCCAACAGGAGAGAGACACCAGGTGGGCAGGCAGCTCTGCTCCAAGTCACAGCTGGCTTTGGGGAGTTTTTCTGGGCTGGTGATGCGGTCTCCAAGTATTTCTGCCAGTCCTGGCGACAGAAAGAGAGACCTTTGGGATGCTAGGGTGAAAGTAGGAGGTGATCTGCCTCGTCCCCTGCTCTCAGGCAGCAGAGGGAGAGGGGACAGGATGCCCACCCAGGACTAGCTGGGTGGTGCAGGATGTCTCAATATACAGCCCCAGCGCCAATAATTAACACATGTGAGATTGATGAAAGAAACCAATGGGGGATGATTATTTTGCTGCCCACATGAGAGAGCTTTCTCCCTTCCTTCTCCCCCTAGTCCTACATCTGGTAGTAATTTTGCAGCTCAAAATAGAAAGGAAGTAGAAGAGAGGGGCTCAGCCAAGCTTGGGCCCATTTGAGGAGAATAGAGACAATTTGTTTGAGGGAAATAGAAGGGATGGTGGAAGGCTGCTTTGTTTCCCACACTACTTTTGTCCTGCTACAAAGGTGTACTGGTGGGTGATGCCTCCCATACATTGCCTGGGCTTTGGGTACAGCAATAAGGGCTGTAAGCCCACGACCATGACTTTTGCATCCTCCAGACCCCTTGAATCTGGCATGTGGAGCAGGAGAAAGAGGATGTGCTGTCTATGCTTTCCAATACCTTGTGATATAAAGTCTTTTTCATAGCTTAACCAGAAAAAAGGAGTCTGGTGGGCTGTCTTCAGCTGCCCCCCTTGTGTGCTCCAAGCCCCATCCCTGAAGTCAGGGTTGATGTGGGAACACTCACCGTGCACCTTGGGCACCTTGGCTTTCAGATGTCGCTCACACTTGGCCTTGGCTTTTAGCAGTAGGAAGATCTGCTCCTCTTTGGTGATGACATCGTCAGCATCCACCTGCAGCGATGGGAGAAATGAGGTTAAACCTCAGCAGGGCACAAGCTTCCTAGACAAGGCAGATGATTTGAATGCACAATCTCCATTGCACCAGCAGTTTCTTTCACTAGCTTTGTTCTTCCCATCTCATTTTGCTCACTAATTGGCGTCCAAGCAACACCCCTGCAAGATGCCACATGGAAATATTTGTGTACAAGGCAAAGGAGGTGCACATTGCAGTTGCACGCAGCAAACACATGCTTGTACATAAAAAGAGAGCAGCTTCTTGGGTGGCATGCCTCAGTTTGCAGCTTGGAGGGACACATTCCAGTAAATAACATTAGCACAGCATTTTTAAATACTGGTTCCTTTGGGATACAGAAGCATAGCTAAATATAACACTCAGGGTGGCAAGGCAATGCTTTGTTTGCTGGCACCCACCTCTTGGAAAATACTGCTGGGGACAAGAGTTTAAGAGCCTCTTCTCACTTCAAGAATCACAACCTGGCATCGTGAATGCAGTGCTATTTACAACCTCTCTCTTAGGTCTTCAGCCCCATGGAATCAGTTCCTATCAACATTCTTTCTAAATCCAAGAACAAATGCAGGGGGGGCTCTATGAGCTGACAACATCTGCCCCCTGACTGAGGGCTCAGGGGAAGGAGGCTACGAACATCACCCTGGAAGATTTTATTTCTCCCCCTCTATGTTCTGCCTGTGAGGTTTCCAGAGGTCAAGGGACAAGAAGAAGGGGTGGGAGAGCAGGGAGGATGCTTTACCCAGAAGCTACGTTACCCTCCTCTGTTTGCTGCTTGCTGATACACAGTGATACAAGGCCCTCCAAGGCACTTGCTGGTCACAAAAAAACATCTTGCTTCATGAAGCTGGCACATTCCCATCAGGCAGGGCTGGTCTCTGGAAGCTGGGGTTACACCCATGGGGTAGTACTTTGGTTATCATGCCATTAAGAGCTTTAATCTAATACAATGTGGCTGCTCTCATTTCCTCATGTGCCTCTTAGGTACTTGGTTTGTGTCCTGCTCAGGCATCTGAGACCAGTCCTCTCATTGCATCCTTTTCCCTAATATTTTTTTTTCTTGTCTAGATTAAACCGTAAAAGCAGTAAGAGCAGAGGCTGCCTTTCTCTGGACTTCTACAGGACTTAGCACTTGTTCTTAATGGTGTTATTTAATCAAGAATGACTGCTGTACCATTTTATAGAAAACAACAGTTTTATTATTATTATTTTTTTACTTTATAAACCTATATTGACTGTGCTGGTGAGACTGGCTGCAGTAAATCTGTTACGACTATGGCAGCTCTCCACATCTTGATGGATGGAGCAGGTCTAAACATCAGTATGCAGTAAAGGCAGGCAAAGGAAAGTAGGAAAGTACAAGACTTTGTGAATGCAAAAGTGACCCAGAGCCTGCCTATGGAGGGTGCTGCTGGTCTCCATCCCTCTGAAGCATTACTGAAGCTGGGTGGCTATGAAATTTCACTGTACTCCCTCCAAACACTGCTAGTCAGAATTAAGGTGCCTTCACTCATTGTAACATAATTCATTTCGGAAAGCAAGATAAACCCTCTGCAGGCCAATCTGTTCTCAAGACTTACTACAAATAACATAATGAAGGTTAATGAAATCCAACTTAGAAGTAAACCCAGGCTCTATTTCACATGTGGTCCTACAGAGGGGAATGGTGAATGCTCAAGCAGCTGATGTGCTAACAGACATGCAGATGGGTATCTAGATCTGATAAGGGGATTCCTAGTAAAACAGAAGTTTGTTTTTCATGCCCTTGGAAAAAATCCACACTAAAATCCTCTTTCAGAAGTGGGAGATGATTTCAAAACATCAATATTAATGCAAAATAAAATTATCCTTTTCCAGATGTTTGGCCAGTCCACATTTAAGGCACTATCCAGCATTTAAACCCTTATTGGAAACATAAAACCTTAAGGTCCAATCCTGCTGTCATTTGCAGCTGCATGAATCCTGAACGATTCCATGAATGCCAGGAGTTATTCTAGATTTATAGTGGTCGAATAGAGCAGAATGCGACCTTAGATATTTCAAATAATACATGCCTTTTGCACTTCATCCTTAGCCACCTTTGGCCATGCTCTGAGAATGGACAGCTCCTTCCCAGCAGGATGTACAATGTCCTGTCCAGGCCAGGCATAGAAAAAAAAATTATTTCTCAGAATTGGAGCTGAGGCACCAAGCTCAGTGCCCAGAGGAGGGTGCAATAGCTGGGACAGGGCTCTGAACTGAAGCTGGGTTTTCAGCTTTCTGAGCCCTGAAACCAGGGCTTATCAGTTTTATACATCCAAAACTTGTCAGACTACTAAATATATATATATATATCACCTATTTCCTCTCCTCTCCCCAAGCTGATATAAATACTGATATATGTTTAAGCCATGTTTTTATGTTTCTAGGCAACCTGCTGCAGGTGGCCCTGCTTGAGCAGGGGTCTTAGACCACATGGCCTCCAGAGATCCCCTCCAACCTCAACCATTTTGAGATTCCCCTGGTTGAGGAAGATGAAACATGCATGTAAACATACACATGAATAAGAACAGAGATTTTCACTGAATCCTCTGGCTTGAAGGGGAGAAGCCTGCCTTAAGAGATGTGGAAAGTTATATTTCTTATAGCATCCTTCTGGGCAAATTGTGATATGAAAGAGGTTCACACCATGCTGAGTGAAGAACTGGGTGACTGCAGAGCTCAAAGCGTGGTAGTGAATGAGGCTGCTGCTGGGGCACTGGGTGATCAACAATGGTGCAAAATGCCTAAAAATGCCTAAAAATTCTTTATCGTGAGGGTGGTCAGACACAGGCTTCCTAGTGGGGCAGTTGATGCCCCATGACTGCCAGTGTTCAAGAGGTATTTGGATACTGCCCTCAATAATATACTTTCACATTTAGTTAGCCCTGAAGACGTCAGGAAGTTGGACTAGATGATCTCTTCCAACTAAACTATTATATTTAAAAAAAAAATCTGAAATGCCATTCTTTTGCTGTTTAACTCATGTTAAACACCTAAGAAGCAAAACTGCTCTGACTGCAGCTGGGACAAGATGGGATGACAGGCTCAGAGCCACATGTACTTTCTCGTGCTTCACCATGCTTAATCTCCAGCCCTTGTCCACCCTCTTGCTGGGACATTTCCATACATCAGCCCTGCTGAACACAGGTGTACTGGTGAAATGAGACATATTTGGATCAGGCTTGGCAAAGCTTCCTCTTTGACAAACAACCTTGATACCTGATCCAAATATACCATGGGATGGCCTCTCTGAAATCGTTAGCAGATGTGCGTACCAACTTCTTTGAATGTGAATATTCCTAGACAGAGAAATGAGTGGCTTTGCTTTCAGAGGTGCTGAGGTACAGGCTGCAGGAGCTTTGAACAGGTGGGAACCACTGCTGGCAAAGTGGCCACAGCCTTGGAGTAGATTTGAATTCCTAGGGTTGGGAGAAAGACAGGACTAAATATACGTGCATGAGAGGCGTCTAAAATACTGAGTGGTGCAGAAAATGGAAAAGATGGCAGCTAGTCACATTTTGCAGAATTTGAGCACAGAGAGGCACAAGATGGAGAGAACACAGCATAAGAGAAACAGAAGAATGATGTATGTAAATTATATGAATAGATTCAAAACAGAACTAGACAAATTAATGAAGGACAAATCCCTCAGTGGCTGTTAAACACCATAGCCTACATGCAAATTTTGATGCAGGGAGGTCTTGAACTGCTGACTGCTGGAAGGTGACAGCCATAAGAGCTCTCTCCTTCTCTAAACATCCTAAGCTGACAGCTCTGGGAACACTCTGTCAGAACAGAAGGTCAACTCAATAAGGCTATTTTTACGTTCCTATAGGCCCTCTATTTTTCCAAGGGGAGAGAAACATCCATGCCCTGCTGTGCATCCAGATAGATGGATATACATTTAGGGCATGGTCCAGCGTGGCACACTCAGCATAATCTGCTTTGATTATTCTGTGTACCTGCTCTTCAGGACCAGGGAAAGTCAGTCAATTAAGAGAAGATGCCAGAAGTGTTCCTTCCAAGCAAATACTGTAGCCACAACCCATACAGATTTAATTACCCATCTTTTACAAAGAAGGTCTGCTATCAGCCTGGAGGCCACCTATTTGTAACCCAGTACTTCTCACCTTCTGATTCTCTAGACAACCATTAGTCAGACAAAAAGAACAAGTACCATACCTTGTAAATACAAAACCTGCCTTGTTAGCTGTCTAGACATCCACAACAGCATTTATTTAAGATGCTCATGCAGGGCTCCCCTTATAGTCCTTGGAGATTTAGCTACAGAGATCACCTGAGAGTCATTCATTGTCAAGCCACCACCTAAAACAAGTCAGATCACCTGTGTCTTTTTTTTTTTTTTTTAAACAACCATAAAGGGACATGACTCAGAAAATATATCTTTTTATTTTATTTTATTTTATTTTATTTTATTTTATTTATTTTATTTTATTTATTTTATTTTATTTTATTTTATTTTATTTATTTTATTTTATTTTATTTTAGAGTCTCAGCAAAGAGAGCACTTCCTATTCCAGAGTTTTTCCAGGTGGATTGGTGGCATCCTCTCATTTCCTGGTGGTTAGGATCATAGGCTATATTATTGCCCTTTTTTATGTACTGGTTCCATCTGCACAAAAGTTTCTTCCATACACTGGACACCAGATGCAAATAAAATCACTTTTAGAGATTCTCAGAAAACCTTTATTGTAGGGCAATTTTGATTGTTACTTAAGTTTGGTTTGACTTCAGGATGAAGCATACTTCTTTCATAATACAAAAAGAAGCAAAATACATTAAATAAATAAATCAAAACCATCTTTGTAAAACATGTAACTGCCAGAAATTTCCACATGAGGTGAAAGAATTTCCAAATTGCTACTAATCTTATTGGCTTGATAAGACATGTGGATTCATTTCAGGAACTGGGGACCCGGACACTTTGACAACTCAGGGTCCCCTGGAATGGCTGCCCAAAGTCTTTGAGTTCCTTGATTCTAATACAGGTGATATGCAATAGGAGCAGCCACAAATCTTTATTTATGAAATACCTGAAATATTAAGAAGTTTGGTGGTTTGAGAAACTTTGCTTGTGTTCCTAAGAATTTAATTGAAACTGTGTCCCATCAAGAAAATCATTTTTTTTTTTAATTATTATTATTTTTTTCTTTTCCTATCAGAAAATGGTGTGAAACTCAAGCACTTAGATAAAAAACAAGTCAATGGTTGGACAACACTAAAGATAAGTAAGGAAAGGATGGGCTCACATCCCTGCCTGATTTATTGAGCTGTTTTTTTTTTTTATGACAAGGTGCCCATCTCAGACTTGCATCTTCTCTCTCACAGACTATTAATTCTTGCTTTTAAGCACTTTCCAAACCGTGATTCATCACATAAAGAACCCCCAGACCTAAGTTCCTGCTTACACCACAGAATTAAAACTTTTGATGACCAATCAATACGCCCCATTGCAACCATAGGTGAGGTTTAGGCTGAGTTGTTAGGGGTGGTTTGAGCCCCTAAAGGGTGAAAATTGCCAAGTACCAGGGAACAACTTTGATTTTACTCCCAGAGCATCTTGCACAGAATATGACTGCCCTGAAGAGGGAGAGCTTTGGGCAGCTGGAGTCTGTAGTAAATGGCACCTGAGCAGAGCTGGCAAGGTCTGCAGCTTCAAGGAGAAGAGATTTTCTTGCTTGAGCTCAGGGAGCAAGAGAAGCATCTAAGGGAAGTCAGAAATAGTGTCACAGCTAGGTACAGCTCCCAAATCCAACTGTTGGAAGGACGAGGTCAGTGTGCCCCTGCAGAAGGTAATCACTGCAAAAGATCTGACAGCAAATCCCTTTCCACGAGACTTCCCTGACTTGCTTCAGCATAAATTCCTGCACTGAGCTTACTTGGCACCACAATTATACAAGTTCAAAGACACAGACAGGCCTGGCAGTACATGGGTGGGTGCAGGAGGACAGCTTTGCTCTGCACTCCAACTTTTACAGGCTGGGTGCAGCTGGGTGGGATGGGGTGTCCTCTCTGGCCTTCCCAATTTTGCAAGAAAAACTGCATCTGCTACTTTTTCTCAAAGGTTCTCACCTTTTGGCTTCCCGGTGCTGTTTTTATTTTTATTTTTTTGTCAGAAAAATTTCCTTGTGGAGAAACAATCTAGGAATGTTTCTTTCTCCCTTTGTTCAGAGAAAGCAGAAATGCAGAGCAGGAGACAGGCCAAGCAGGGAAGGGTGAAATGACAATGCTATCCAGAGCCTGTCAAATCAGTTTTCATTCTTTCTTTTTTTTTTTTTTCCTCTTTTTTTTTTTTTTTTTCCCTTGCCCCAGAGGAGGCCATAGGGTAATTATGATAATGTTTTCTGGTATTTCCATTTCATTGGCTGATCTCCCAGCCACTAAAGTAAACCCCAAATCTCAACGGGAAGGTCATATTCATCCTTGTTATGGGACTCATTTTCAGAAATAACACTATCCTTTTTGTGAAACTTCCCTGGCAGCGGCTCAAAAAATAGCTAAAGGCAAACAGATTTCCTTGGTCAGGGTTGAGAGCATCCACGCCGCTGGATGGGCCCCAATGCAAGGGATTGCTGGTGATCACCCTCCTGGATGGCAGAGCACCAGGTAATTGCCCGTGTGAAGCAGAAAGAGGTTGCAGGTGGCAGGGGGGCATGAGAAGGAAGGGGAAAAGGTAGGTGTGAAATGAAAGCACCAATGTTGGTGATCTGGAGGCAAAAGAGAGGTCCCAAGGATGCTGGAACAGGCAGGACAGAGGGCAGCACAGTGGGGATTCAGCTGCCTTTGACATAGCCTGCAGCATGGAGTGAGGCAATGTGGGTCAGCAAGAGCTCGTGGTGGTGTGGGATCAGAGGCAGGAAGATGTGGCAGCATGAAGGTAGTCAGGAACACAAGGCATCGCATGAGGATGGGACAAAAACTGAGATCCTGACACCTATTTTTCGTTTTCTGCCTTTTTTTTTTTTTTTTTTTTTTTAATGAATGGGATTTAGGTGAGAAGGGGTGGATGCTCTCAGTTCTTGTGTGATCAGGTTTGGATATCTAGTTGTCCCTTTCTGTTTTTCCCTACACTTCTCCAAGTATTTGTGCAACCCTTCATCTCCTGGCCACCGGACCCTGCTGATTTACTGAGGTCCAGATGAACCAAGCATGGAAGGAACAGGGATTTGTATATCGTGTCTTGGGGGAAAATGTACCTTGTGCAGTCTTGTTACTGGATCTGCTGCCAGGCCCAAAGCAAAATAAGATAAATACAGATAAATACTCGTGGATATACAGAGCAAATACAGATAAGCAGTTGCTTATTCTCCCACAATTTGGGCAACACTGGATTTGCCCATTGCCCAGGCTGTTTAATTCCCTTTCCTCACTTACTGCTGCCTCCATGCATCTTCTCTGACTGCCCACGTTATCATCACCTGAGTAAAAAAACGACATAAAAAAACCAGCAACAAAACGCACCAGGGGAGAGGCAGGGAGTGGGGCTTGCTCTGCCCTGAGGGACTTAGTTAAACTGAATAGGCATTATTTCCAACATTAGAAAAAAAAAATGTGGTTGCAACCTATTCCTGTCAGGTTAATGCTGGAAAGATGTAAAAATAAATAAAGCTGGAGTGCCAGTTGGCCGGGATGGAGATACAGTAGCAGAAGCAGCAGCGGCACGCTCCACTGCCAGCAGCTAATGGCAAAAGCTCCGGGAGCAGAGCTGTGGTTTGCTTGGACACTGGGGTGGCGAGGAAGATGATGGAGGAAGGTCAGGTCCTAGCAAGGAGACCCATTGATATCCCTGCCTGGGCTGGGACCAGGCACGGGGACCTCTTTCTTGTCCCCAAACTCTGCTGTGCCCCATGTAGGTGTGTGCCCCTCATCCCATCCCACCTCCAGAGGACCAAAATTGACCTCTGGAGATGTCTGTGGGTGAGGACTGAGGTTATGAAGACTGGGCTGGGACAATTAAATCAACAGGGCCTGAGTCCAGAAGGGTAAAGGAGGAGGGGGGCACCCAAGAGGGACCCAGACAAGGAGGGGATGTGGGAAAGGGAGATGCTGTGAGCGGAAGGAAGAGCTGGTTGAATCCTGATGAAACAGCACGCTGGGAGCTGTGGAAGCGTGGAAAGCTTAGTGCACAAACTGCTCTGCCCTCTACCTGCTTTTCCCAGTCTCCCAGAGGGTAAATGAAGTCAGTGGTTTTTGCCTTAATCCCTGACCACATCACCCAAACCACCGCCTGCTCCAGGGCAGCAGCAGGACTCTGCTCCAGCCAGCTGGGCTCAGGGACCCTGCCCTGCACCCACGGACACACCAAAAGCCCACCCGTGGTGCTCAGGGCTCTCTCTCTGCCCTCCCCGAGCTGCCCCCACCAGGCTGGTGGATCCCTGCTCTTCATCCTACCCTCAGAGCCAGGTCTCCCATGGCTAGGAGGTGTCTATGCACCTGAGGAGCTCACCTTCCTATTTCTCAGTGCCTCGATGCCCTGCTGGGAGAAGGACTTGCTCCTTTCCTCAATCATAAATCCATCTTTGCCCTTGTGTAAAGCAGTCCATCTCTCAGCAAGAAGAAATGGAAAATGGAAAGAAAAATGGAAAAAGAAAAATGGAAAGAAGAAAAGTAAGCGTGGAAAGATGTTATGCAGAACTGGGAATGTCTCATCTCATCGCGACATTTAAATATCTTTGATATCTACCAAAGGCGTGGCCAAGCGAGGGCACAATTTCCTGAGTTTCTGCTAAGAAAGGATGCTGTCTCTGTGGGAATCCCTTGTCCATGTCATACCATGCCCATGCCATACATCACCATGATGAATGCATTTGCACATGCTACACGGGCACACACAATTTGTCATCACAGGGATGGGCAGAGGACTTGGGGAGTAGTTCAGTCTGATTTGGTCTCATTGATGCCCTTCCAATCCCATTTACTCCCACTTTGCCTTGGGGAAGCCTCATCCCTCAAGCAGAGCAAGAAGAAAATCTGCTGGAACAAAGCACAACTTGCAGACTCATCATAACTCATGCCACAGGGCATTAACTGATCTGAACAAAGGTGTCCACCACATTTGACAAGAATAGCAGAAGATTTTGGGGGGGATGAGGTGATGCCATGACAGCAATAGAAGAGACCTTTTATCATCCTTTGAAGATGATTGCCTGTGTGGCTATGCTTCCTTAGCTATCCTGCCATGTAAATGCCCCTCTTACTAAGTGTTCGCATGATTTACGGTCGGCACATACAATTCATCAGGGGGAACTGATATTTATGGTAC